CGAGCCCGTGATGTCGAACTCGATGAGCCGGACGTCCTGGAAGTGGGACTGTGCCGTGACCCGCTGGTTGGACACCACAGGGGCAGCGAAGGGACGGAGCTCGGAGGGAACAGCCCTGAGCGCTGTCGGCTGGGGAAGGGCACCCTCGGGGGGTGGGGAGTCCTCAGGCAGGTAGTGCAGGGTGTATTTTGGGGGCAGGCTGTGGAGAGGAGAGCAATGCAGTGGTTACTCCACGCCACAGCTCCTCTGCTGCTCCAGGGCGAGGCCTGGAGTTTCCCACTGCATCCACCACCCACCATCCCTGTTCCCCAGAGCTGGCTTTGTAAGGGAATGCAATGCAGACTGCCAGGAGATTCCAAAGTCTCCAGAACAGGCAGAGGGAGGCTGGCTGGGCACACACACTCTGCCAGGGGCAGAGGCACATCAGGATGGCAAGATGGGCACAACCTGGCTGGGGCAGCTGACACACACCCACGGGGGACAAAGGGACACGCCATCCAGAGAGAAGTGGGCCACCAGTGGCCAAAGAACAAGGAACGCTTGGGACACCAGTAGCTGTGTGGGAAGGGTTCCTGGTCAAAGCAGAGCACATCTCCACTCTGGAGAACAGCCAAGGAAGTGTGGCATTGCACAGCAGCCAGTCCCTGCTGGGGCCCACCCTGCCCACCCTCTGCACCCACCGTGTGTCTGGGCTGATGATCTCAAGGCCAGGAGGGAGAGGATACAAAGCGAGGATCTTGTCCCATAAGGCCACAAGCCATGGATCAACCACTGCATCCGGCCTGCAAGAGGGAAATTCAGGCTGCAGCAGAACAACATCATCCCTTAGGGCCCAAGCCCTGCTACCCCTGCACCTGCCCAATGCTGGGACAGCCCTGCTCCCCTTGCACTGCACAGTCACCCCAGGCTGTTCCCTTACAGCTTCAGGTCTGGGAGGAAACATGTCTCAGACACTCTAAGCACTCACTTGCTCTATGGGGCCCAACCACTGACACCTGAACAGAAGCACAAGCCCCCTGAGCACCACCTGTGGCCATCACCAATTCCATGAGCCACACAGAGCCTCTGCTCCATGCCAGGTGAGCACAGGTCAGGCTGCTGCAGGCACGTGGCTGTGTGACACAGCCATTCCCGCTCTGAACAGGACTGGAGCTGAGCCAGGAGATGCTGGCACATCCTGGGGGTCGTGGGACACCCTGGAGAAGCAGGTGACCCAGGTCCTGGCACAGAAGCGTTATGAGCAGAGATCAGCACGTTCACAGAGCTGCTGGAGCAGCCCCGTGGTGGGAGCAGCACACTGCTGTTCCCCAGACACAGCAGGGCTGTGTCTAAAGCACACAGAGCCCTGCCAGCAGCCCAAGGACAGAGCTGTAGTGCACCCCAGGGCTCCCCCTGCCACACCTCCCCATGGCTCTTACCCCAGATCATGCTGGTCATCTCCCAAGGCCACTGGCAGCAGCGGGTTGCCCCCAAGTTGTAGCACCCGTTTGTGCAGCTTCTTTGCAACAAAATTAAACCTAAGCAGAGAATAACACAGCTGTGAAGGCAGGGCTGCTCCAGCACACAGCAGGCAGTGCCCACAGAAGCCAGCACCTGCTGCCAGGGCCACAGGAGCAGCACAGAGGCAGCAACACAACCTGGTCTGTGCCCTGCCCAGTCTGTGCCCCAACCTAAGGCAGCTCACAGGAGCAGTTGCCTGCCACTTGCTGGGCCTCATGGGCTGTGCCTAGCTCCCAGAAGGGACTTATGGAGGTCCTGCTTCCCTTCAGGGACTCAGAACACTTCCTTCACTCCAGCCCCTCACTGCCCCATGGAGCTCTGGCACGCCTACCCCTCCCACCACAGCTCTTTCAGGCACATGGGAACAATCTTCTGGGATAGAACTGGTACCAACAGGGCTGGCTGCCATTTGTGTTTGATGTCTCCTGTTGCCCTGGCCCACTGGCAAGTGGCACAGCCTGTGCTGTGGCACAAAGTTGCTTCCCTGCAGTTCAGATGGAAAACTGAATGGCTGCAACAAATGACTGACACCTGATGTCAGACCCACTGCAGCAAATGACCTGCTTGGAGAGGCTGGGGGGGAAGAAATGGGCAGAAGCCTAATTCCTGAGATTTGGGAGGGACACAGGCTGGTAGAGCAAGGATTTTTAAGGCTGGTGGGAATTTCATTTCATTTCATCCAGAGTCAGGCTCTGTCTCCCCCCACCCCCTCCGTTCTCCAGCCACTCTGGCCCCTCCCGCAGCCAGAGCTGTGAGGAGCAGCCATCCAGGAGCTGCAGAGCTGCTTACTTGGGGTAGGATGAGTCGCCAAGGCCCAGCACGGCGTAGTCCAGCTGGCACAGGGACCCGGGCGGCAGGTTCTTCCGGAACAGAAACCGCCAGAACATCTACGGAGGACACGGCCGGGGAGTCCTGCTGCTGCCCAGGCAGCCTGCCCTGCCTGCCAGCCCCCAGATCCCTGCTCTGCCCCCATCGGGCCCATCCTGAACCCCAACACAGGGGGGAGCACTCCTGCAGAGGTGGCCTCTGAAAGCCCCCTCACCAGCTCCCTGCTCATGTCCCATGAGAGGTGACTGGTGCTCCCCCCTCCAAAAACAACCACTGCTCAAGCTGCTTCTAGAGAGAATTCCCTGGATCAGGAACATAAAAGCAAGATGGACAGGAATATGTCCTACCTTCATGTTATCAGGTGGGTCTCCCTGGCCGGTGGTTGCACACACAAACACCACCAGTGGCTCATGGATGAGGTTGGCCTGTGGGCACAGACATGGAGAGGCATGTCCAGGTCAGCAGCCTACAAACTGCTCTGGGAGAGCTGAGGGTGTTCACCTGGAGAAGAGAAGGCTCCAGGGAGACCTGAGAGCCCCTTCCAGCGCATAAAGGGGCTCCAGGAGAGCTGGAGAGGGACTTGGGACAAGGGATGGAGGGACAGGACAAGGGGGAACAGCTTCCCACTGGCAGAGGGCAGGGCTAGATGGGATATTGGGAAGGAATTCTTCCCTGTGAGGGTGGGGAGGCCCTGGCACAGGTTGCCCAGAGAAGCTGTGGCTGCCCCTGGATCCCTGGAAGTGTCCAAGGCCAGGTTGGATGGGGCTTGGAGCAACCTGTTCTAGTGGAAGGTGTCCGTGCCTATGGCTGGGGGTGGAATTGGATGATCTTTAAGGTCCCTCCCAACCCAAACCCTTGTGTCATTCTACGAAATACGTGTCCTGACTGTCCCCACATGGCTGCCCACACCACAATGAGCTCCCAGACTGACCACGCTTGGAATAAAACCCACAGCCCCACGTGGCACGAGCTCCTCCATAGGCCCTGCAGCAGCATCTGCTGCCCACCCACTCCCTGCAGCACCAGCCCCTCACCTGGCAGGGAAAGGCTGAGTGTCTGTGACTCCATCCCAGGAGTCCCTGCTCTCTTTACCCACCTGAGTTAAGGGAGCTGAGTCAAGCACAAGCTGCCCCCAGGGAGGGCACAGAGCCAGGCCCTGGTGACACACAGCAGATCACAGCAAGGGTGGAGGATGCCCAAGTGGCAGAAATGGGGCTGGTGGGGATGGAGCAGGAGCAGCAGTGCCCAGAGTCCCCTGTGTGTCCCATCTCACCAGGTCACAGCTGTCCAGGGCCTCCACCCTGCACTGCAGGTGCCGGCGCGTGGCCTCTCTCCCGATCCTCTCGGCCATGTCTTGGGCCGTCCCCGTCTGGCTGCCAAAGAGAACGAGGAGCTTCCGTTCTGCCATCTGCAAAGACAAACCAGAGCCACCACCCAGAGGGGAAAGGGGGCTGGGAGGGCAGAGCTGGGCCTGCCCTGGGCCCAGCAGCGCCAACCCCACCCAAAGGAGCACCAGGGACTGGGGGCCAAGGTGACGTGTGGGGCTGACACAGCAAACAGGGGTGTCAATAGCTGGGATCCAGCACTGGGATACAAGGCTCGTGGGCTCTTTTCCCACCCCTGCACAGCGCTGAGGGATTAATGCTGTGTCCTCACCTGCAGGAGCAGCAGGGACACACTGTGCTCCTTGTCCCCACTGCCCGGGCATGGAGGGACTAAAATGCACATCCCGGCTCGTTTAACTGCCCTCATCCCCACAGGGTAAGTGCAGCCCTGGGATCGGCTGTTCTCCATTGCTGGTTTTAACTTTCTTGTCTGCCCTATGAATTCCCCTCACTTGAAGGGGCCTGGGGAAGAGCCTGGAGCTCAGAGACAGAGAAAGGTGTGATCAGACACACACTGCTCTCAGCCACACTGCCAAAGAGCAAGGCCCTGTGTGTGACAGGGAATCCTGCAGGGAATCCAGCCCAGAGGGATGTCTGAGCTGCAAACGGCTGCTGTCACCACGTGCCCATAGAATACTAACAATAAATTACATGATAATAATAAAAAACAAAATCACAGAATCACAGACTGATCTGGGTTGGGAGGGAGCTTCACATTCATCCCATTCCACCCCCTGCCATGGGCAGGGACACCTTCCACTAGAACAGGTTGCTCCAAGCCCCATCCAACCTGGCCTTGGACACTTCCAGGGATCCAGGGGCAGCCACAGCTTCTCTGGGCAACCTGGGCCAGGGCCTCCCCACCCTCACAGCCAACAGTTCCGTCCCAATATCCCATCTAGCCCTGCCCCCTGGCAGTGGGAATACATTCCCCCTTGTCCTGTCCCAAGTCCCTCTCCAGCTCTCCTGGAGCCCCTTTAGGCACTGGAAGGGGCTCTGAACTCTCCTGGATCCTTCCCTTCTCCAGGTGAACCGCCCCGGTTTTCCAAGCCCGTCTCCAGGGCAGAGGGGCCGCAGGGATCGGGATCCCTGGGGGATCTCCCGGCTCTTCGGACTCACCATGGACCGGCCCCATCCCGCCGTGACGTCACCACAGTGCGACCGCTCCCGTGACGTCACACGGCGGCTGAGGAGACTCCCTCGCCCGTTCCGCACTCCCTGTGACGTCATCATCCACCGCGCCCCTTTGACGTCATCGCCCCGCGCCGCCCGCGCCGGGCGGGCCGAGCCCCGGGCGGGTCGGGTCCGGTGCCCCGGACAGGGCCGGTGCCGCTCCCCGGCTCTGCCCCGCGCCCCCCGGACCATGCTGTTCTCCCTGCGGGAGCTCGTGCAGTGGTTGGGCTTCGCCACGTTCGAGCTGCTGCTGCACGCGCTGGCCCTGCTCGCCTTTACGGTGCTGCTCGTGCTCAAGGTGGACGGCGCGGCCGCCGCGCTCTCCTGGTGGGTCGTGTTCGTGCCCTTCTTCGCCGCCGACGGGCTCAGCACCTACTTCACCACCATCGTGTCCGTGCGGCTGTTCCAGGACGGCGAGAAGCGCCTGGCGGTGCTGCGGCTCTTCTGGATCCTCACCATCCTCAGCCTCAAGTTCGTGTTCGAGATGCTGCTGTGCCAGAAGCTGGTGGAGCACACGCGGGAGCTCTGGTACGGGCTCATCATGTCGCCCGTCTTCATCCTGCTCCAGCTGCTCATGATCCGGGCCTGCCGTGTGAACTGAGGGTCGACGGGGGGACGGGCCCGGGCCTCAGGCTCCCCTCGGCGTTATCCCTTTGCAGAGGGCGGCGACAGGCTGTGACAGGCTGGTGACAGGCTGGTCGGTGCCCCAGCTCGCTGCCGTGCCACAGAGCACCACATTCCCCCAAAAGCTCCCGTTGTGCCGCGTTCCTGTTTCAGCCCTCCCAGCCCCCGTGTTGTCCTGCCCTGCGAGCGCTGCTGGGTGTGCCAGTTATTTTATTGTAAAATAAAAGTGCGTTGAAGGATTGGGGTTCATATAAAACTTTTTCCATAGAAAGCAGTTGTGCCTAAAAGTGCCGCTTTGAGAGCAGGAATTGCCTGGAGGGTGGGTGGGTGCTGTAGATCCCTTCATACCCCCCAGACCTCTGCCCTGCCCTACAGCAAAGCTCATTGATTCCCATCTGTCCCCTCACTTCCCTGAGCACTTCATCCCGTCAGAGCTCTCTCAGAGTTTTGTGGGGCTGTGCTGTGAGCCGGAGAACACTGATACATGTGGTTTTTAGCAGATGTTTTTTGTATTTCGCTTTTGTTCCCTACATCTGGAAGTAGGAGGCTGGGGAAGGCAGGGCAAAGGGCAGGACCATGCACTGCTGATGCCAGTTGTGAAGGGGTGTGTCACTGAACCCTGACTTTGCTGTGAAACACTGTGCTCAGACCCCAGAGAGCAGGAGTTCAGTATTCCATGTGGAAGTGTGGTTCAAGGTGTCAGATACCAGTGTCACAGGGAGGTCCCAGTGCCAGGGACACCCTGGCACCCCTGGTGTCCAGCTCCCACCACAAGGGTGTTGGGAACGACTGATGAGCCCCTCACCCTCAGCCCAGCAGCCTGTGCTCCTTCCCACCTCGTGTGTCACAGACCTGTGTGTTCTGCTGATGTTCCCTCTGACAGAACATCTCCTGGCAGCCAGGGCTGGAGGGGAAGCCTCCCTGGCCCAGCTCTGGCTCTGCCCTCCCAGTCTCCCCTCTGCCCTGAGGTCTGTGCAGGTGGGGTCAGGGACAGGAACTGCCCTATGAACAGCTGTGTCACTGCTCTGTCAGCTCAGAGGCCCGAGGGGCCCCAGGGATGTATTGGTCAGGCTGATCTCCCCAAGAGATCCTCTGATGACAACAGGACCAGTGGCTGCTGCTCTTCTCTCTGGAAAGGGGGTGGGAACTGAGGAGGTTCCCATCAGTGACAGAGGCTGTCCCTTGGTGCTGCTGACGGCTCATCCTGGCTGTTGTGGAACGGCAGTGGGACAACCAGCAGCCCGGGCCAGCAGGATCCATAAACTGACACATATTTAGCCCAGACTGGTCCATAATGGGGATTAGATGCTCAGTGTGACCTGCTCCCACTAGCCTCTATTCAAGTAGCACCTGGCTCCATGTCCCCGGTGACTCCAGGTGGCCCATCCTGGGCTGGCTCCAGGGCATGGGTGAGTACAGGACAGGAGCACCACCCCCCCTTTGCTCAGTCCTCCCTTGGTTGAGGGAGGGGATTGTCCTGCTCTGCTCTGGTCTGGGGCAGCCTCACCTCGAGTGCTGGGGGGGCAGTTTGGGCACTGTAATATGAGAAAGATGTGAAGCTGTTAGAGTGTCCAAAGGAGGGACATGAGGATGGGGAAGGGCCTTGAGGGGCCATACAAGGAGCATCTGAGATCACTTGGCTTGTTCAGCCTCAAGAAGGGGCTGAACTTCAGATTGAGGGGAAACTCATTGGGGTTTGCAGCTTCCTCACGAGGGGCAGTGCAGGGGCAGCTCTCTGTGACCAGGGGATAGTGTTGTAGACGGCGGGATACAATTTATACGACCACAGAAAGCTCAGAAAGATCATGGCTTATCCAACTTTATTGCTGCAGGCTTTGTGCTTATAAAGGTTAATAATTAGCCTCATGCATATTACAAGCTCTAGCTCATCATTGGCTTCTGATTACCTAAGTTATATTTGCGCAAATGCTGTTTCTTTCACATTCTTATGGTTACTTGTTTGCTATTTGCTCTGCTTTCCCATCCACTTTATTCTATTCTTCTGTCAGGATAGGATCCAGGGAATGGCTGGAGCTGTGTCAGGGCAGGGTTAGGTTGGATCTCAGGAAAAGGTTCTTCCCCCAGAGGGTGGTTGGGCACTGACCAGGCTCCCCAGGGCAGTGGGCACAGCCCCAAGGCTGCCAGAGCTCAAGGAGTGTTTGGACAATGCTCTGAGGGACAGGATGGGATTGTTGGGGTGTCTGTGCAGGGCCAGGAGCTGGACTGGATGATCCTCATGGTCCCTTCCAACTCAGAATACTCTGTGATTCTGTGATACTTGCACACCCTGAGGTGGCACTGGGCCCTAGGTTTAGGGACCTGCCTCACAGGAGCTCCTCCTCCTTCCCCTTGTGATGTGGTTTCCCAGGGCTCAGTGTCACCAAGGCTGAGCCGTAATGGCCCCAAGTGCTCAGGTCACTCCACTGGGAGCCGTTTGCTTACCTGGGCCAAGGACATGTCACCTGGGAGGAGATGCCCAACTGCTCCTTGTCACCTCCACCTCACACCAGTGTGAGTTCACCCACACTCAGTGTCCCCGTGACGTGGTTGTGCCCACAATGCACCCAGTCACCCGAGTGCACAGGCCACGGTGTCCCATCCGCTGCCATCACAAGAGCTGTGTCAGAGCAGCCACAGGGGCACTGCCGTGGCGCTGGGGAGGGGGAGGGCCGGGTGGGGGCCATGGAGGTGGGAGGAGAGCACAGCTGGGGCTGGCGGGGTACAGTGTCTGCTGCCAGGGCTGAGGAACAGGAGCTGCAGCTGGTGGGGGACACCAAGAGGAGCAGGATGAGCAGCAAAGCTCTGAGTCAGGAGGGGACACTCACTGAGTGGCCCTGGGGACCAGCGATGCCTTTGGACACTCCCACAGCTCCCAACCACCAGCTAATTAATAAACTAAGGAAGGGGCTCATCAAAACCAAAGAAGATCAAACAGATGAACACATCCCTCAGCCTCGCTGCGACGCTGCTCAGGAACGGGGATGTTTCCTGCTGCCCAACCCCGGCAGGACCATCAGCCCCAAACTAACACCAGCCCTGTCAGCAGGGCGTGGTGTTTGACATGGGGGCACAGTGCCACATCCCCCCTGTGCTGCCCAGCTCCCCTGCAAGCAGCTCTTACAGCATTTTGCAGCTGCCTTGGGGAAGAGCCAGCGGTCGACGTGTCCCAGCTCTGCTCCTCCGAGGTAAGGCATTACCCTGCCAGGGCATCTGGGGACATAAGAGTGACACAATGGCACTTGGGGTGCTGCCTTGATGGGGGTGCCAGGGGAGGGGGGGATTACTGTCAGCCGGGACCAGCTGTGTCCCCTGCCAGGACTCCTCTGGTGCAGAGGAGTCACCCATGGTGCCCAGGGCCACCAAGTCCTGAAACAAACCTTCCAGGGGCCGTTGCCCTGGCAGCCAGCAGCATGCAGTTCTGACACACCTGCCTGTGGCCACACAGAACTCCTTCTGGGAGCATCCGCCTTGGAGAAATCCCGCTGGATCCTCCACCCGCTGGCACAGCTGGAGGGGACAGACCCTGACACCCGTGCCCTGCCCGGTGCATGCCATGGGGTCCCTGCCATTCCCTGGCATGAGGCCAGAGGCTCCTCAAGTCTCAGACCAACACTCTTCCATGCTGGAACATGCTCTAGCAAAGATGAAAATCTCCCCTCTAGATTTATTCTTGTGCTGAGGTGGGTGTGTTGGGTATTGCTGCCAGCTGAGCCTTTCCCAAACCCAAGAGCACGTGTCAGTGCCTCAGCTCCCAGCCCGGAGCTCTGGCCATGTGGACACGATGGGGAGCAGCACAGCTTCCCTAGGCTGGTGCTGTGGATCCCAGCCCTGAGCCCCTCCAAACCCCCAGGCCGGTGGGGAAGAAACCTCTGCACAGCCCAGCCTGGGTGCCAAACAAGCACCCCCTGGCAGAGGGGCAGTACCAGCAGTACCACCCTGCTCTGTGTGTCCCAGCTCCTGTGGGGACAGGAGCAGCTCTTGGAGAGACAACCGAAATATGGGATGGGAACACTGGCAGGAGAAAAGCCAGTGCTGCCGTGTCCCTGTGGCATCTCCAGAGCAGAGCTTGCCTGGGACAGCACAGATGGGCTCCATGCACTAAGAGAACAGAGGTCCAGCATGACCTGAGCATCCAGAGGGCTCCCAAAGGACACACCTGGGAATGGGTGGTCCAAGGGACCTCCATCCCTCCCTGCATCTAGACATGGGAAGCACCTGGGGACTGTGTGACCTCCTCAGTGCAGTGGTGGCTTTAACCTCCCGGTGTGGTGGGTGGCTCTGGTCAGGAGCTGGAGCTGTTTCCTGGAAGGACCCTGAGGTTGCCCTTTGAGCAGTGTCCAGCCTTTCCCAAGCTTGTGGGAAGAGAGGCCACACCACACCTTGTGTTCTGTGTCCAGTTCTGGGCCTCTCAATTCTTCCTGACATTGAGGTGCAGGAGCGAGTCCAGAGAAGGGCAATGAAGCTGATGAAGGGTCTGGAGGGTAAGTCCCATGAGGACTTCCCTGACAGAAAGGTGCAGCTGGAGGGGGGAGTGTGTCAGGCTCTGCTCCCAGGGAACAAGGGACAGGACAACCTCAAGTTGTGCCATGGGAGATTTAGGTTGGGCATCAGGAGGAATTTCTTCACAGAAAGGGTGATTAAACATTGGCAGGGGCTGCCCAGGGAGGCAGTGGAGTCTCCATCCCTGGAGGTGTCCAAGGAACACTTGGACGTGGCACTCAGTGCTCTGGGCTGGGGGACAAGGTGGGAATTGGTCACATCTTGGATTTGATGATCTCAGAGATCTTTCCCAAGCTCAGTGATTCTGTGACTCTGTGCGAGGTCAGGGCTCTGAGCAGAGAAGTTGCCCACCCACGAGGGTGGCTGAGAGGAGAGGAGGGTGGTGTGGTTGAACAAGCAAAGGCCATGGCTGGGGGGTGATGTGTGTCCAGCACAGATGAACTGGTGCTGGGGGATGTGCAGATACCAGGCTGGGTGACACAGTTGGCTGTGGCTTGGTGGCTGAGTCCTGGGAGCTGGACTGTGTCTCTGGCACAGTTCTGTTATGTGGAGAGAGCTGGAACTGTTCCAAAAGTAAAACCAAGTCTTACAAGCCCCTGCAAACCTCATGTGCCAGCTGGTGCTCTCAGCCCCTTGCTGCTTTGTTATTCAGCACTCCCAAACAGCAGTGGGAACCCAAACCCCACCTGGTTCCCGAAGCTGGGCTGTCTCAGTGTTCAGAGAGAGCCTGGATGGCATC